TACCCCATGGCAGAAAAATAACCAGTTAAAAGAGATTTTACTCATTCTAGTGCATTAAGTTCAGTCAGTAGAAGGTCCCAAATAGTAGTCGAAACAAATTTTCTCTTGTAACCATACCCTGAAGAGACAAAGTGCTGATTGGAAGGTAACAGACTATGGGGAGATGCTCAGTCAATCATGTTTCAGAATAAGGTGGGAAAATTAATGTTTTTGTCCTCTTTTTAGTTTTCTTGTTTTACAAGACTGATTGTGGCAGAGGGGATGTGCAGAGTTTGGAAAAAATGTAAGGAATAACTTAGATATTATGGGGCCATAGGAACCTCCTCAAGATATCTTTAATATCCTACAGTATAGTGGAACTTGCTTAAGGAGCTGAAGAGAGAATTATTGTGATTTGCAGTGTCATCTTTTAAAGCCGTCATACATGTTAAAACTAGAATAAGTAGACAAATTTGTGTAGTCCGTCTCTTCTTAAATTATTAATCAGAACTAATAAAGTTCTATGATTCATTGATTCATTTAAATAATGAAGTATTAGCAGGCAGATAATCAGTTCTGTAAGGGTCGGCAGCACTTTGGTATTTCTTATCGGATTCTTCAAAAGCGGGGAGATTGCCCGTTCAGTTGTTCTATAACCAGAACCTCAAGGAGTTAAATTCTTATACATATGTTTAATACTTTGTTAATAAATGTGTGTCTTTCTCTGTTCGCTCCTCTGACTATAGACTCAACAGTGACTTGCAGCATGAGGGAGAAGAGAGGAAAAAAGTAGATTTGATCTGTTTTTAAAAACTTCTGATGAGAACAAAATGTACATATAAAAATTTGATTCTTTTTCTTGTCATTCATGGTCCCAGATTAAATGTACCTTTATCTCTAAAATTTTAGGAACTTTTACATGCTGAAGGTGGACATTCTGAAGAACTTCTGTATCCTGTTTTGATAAGAGTAGATAACACTGCTTTCTTTTCACCTAGGTTGGATCAGATGTTTTCAGATGCTTTTAGTAGAGATCATCAGCTAATTCAAGCAGATCCAAAGCATAGCCTCTACCTTGCCTGTGCACTTCTCGTTCGAGGAAATGTGCAGGTTTCAGACCTTCGCAGAAATATTGAAAGGTTTGTAATACCACGCAAAGTAGTCATGAGATTTGGTACTGAAACTGTTGTCAGTTGTCCAGAGCACTCGCACTTTTTATTTGAAGAATTTCATTACCAAATCAACTTACTTAAAAGCATCCTTCATAATTACATTTTCTTCCCTTCTTAAATTAGTTTACACAGTGAGTTAGAATGTTACAGCATTCTTGTATTTCCAAATAAAGGGAGGTGAGTAGATTTCTCTGCACTGCTCCTCCAATTCTCACATAGTTTGTTTTTACTGAACAGGAGGCCACTGTCTTCCATGTTTACTTTAATGTATGTAGGGAATCATGCTTATTTTAACAACTCTGAATCGTTAGCTCTCTGTTTCTACCTTTTTACACTATTGATCCTACATAGTTGTAGCAGGCAAAGCATGGAAGCTTCTCATACAGAACTGAGTTTGCAGGCAGGCAGATGTATGGGGAAATTTTTGAGGATCTAAAGCATTTTACTTTTTTCTAAACTACAGGTATTCTGATTGTTCTCACTCAGTATTAATCTGCCCCTTTTCTGAACTTGAGTGCTTCCAGTCCCTTTTGTAGAACCAGGTTCTTGTAACTTTACTTTTCAAACCCTGAAATGTTAAACTAACAAAACAAAATCAGTGTTTGCAATTTAAATTTAAAGTAGATACAACGGTTTAGCTCACATTCTAAAATGCCTTATATTTATACTTGACTTGCTTAGTTCTGAAAGCTTAAATGTTAACCTTTTCATTTTGACTGTTAGGGAAGGAAACTTAAAGCTTTGTTTTCTTTAGATTCATTAGGTAACTGAATTTTGGTATCACAGGTTGAAGCCTTCCCTGCACTTTGTCTCCTGGAATCAAGAGGGCTGGAAAACTGGTTTGTGTTCAGTACCTCCCGTGGGCCATTCCCATTCCCTTCTGGCTTTAGCAAACAACACCTGTGTGAAACCAACTTTCATTGAACTCAAAGACAGATTTATGAAGCTATACAAGAAAAAGGTACAACTCTTTTTATCATTGTAACTTCTGTAGCCACCAACGATTAGCATTTTGCATTATTGGGAAGCGAATCTCAGTATCGCAGAGGAGCTGCTTAAAAGTAACTGCCCAAGATTATTTGTGTTACCTATAATCATTCCAACTGCTGCAACTGAAAAAGCATGTAAACCCCTTATCAATCTGTACTTACCAGGCAATATACTTACTTTCTTCAGCAATGAGGCAGTATCTGACAGATCTGCCTACCAGTTTGTGATGGGGTGACCTTTGCTGGCCTTCAGGTGCCCACCAAGCTGTTCTCTCACTTCTCTTCCTCAGCAGGACAGGAGGAGAAAGTATGATGAAAGTCTCACAGGTCAAGATAAGGACAGGGAGATCACTCACCAGTTACTGTCATGGGCAAAATAGACTTGACTTGGGGAACATTAATTTATTGCCAAGTAAGAAATAGAGCCCAAACTGAAAACGCCTTCACCCCACACCCTTATGTCTAGGCTGTGTCACTCCTGCTCCTTCTTTGCTGACTTTGTTGTCTGCAGGGCTCTTTCTCTTCTGCCTCCCCCCTCCCCTTGCTCTCCTCTCTCACAGCTGTCATCAAGCATTTTTTTACCCCTTCCTAAATATCTTATCACAGAGGCACTACCAGCATTGCTGATGGGCTCAGCTTTGGCCAGTTGTGGGTCCATATCAGAGCTGGCTGTCACTGGCTCTATCTGACATGGGGGCAGCTCCCACCTCTGGAGCTGCACCCTCCTCCCTGCCACAAAAACCTTGTCATGTACATCTGATATGCAACTTGGTCAGGTGTACCCAAGAAAACAGTGTGAAAAAGATGTGTAAGGAATCAGTAATATTGACTGTGATTCCACAAGGGATTGTTACTGTAAAATTTCCAAGTATTTGAACAAGGCATATCATGATACAAGTCCTTAAATCTACTTTCTACAATGCTTGCACTCCACTCCAGTGCAGGCTATATGGTACTTATTGAACCAAAGGAATTAGGTGATAAGGAAAAGGTAACACTACTTTTTTTTTTATTTTATTCTCATAGGCTCATCTTCACCATTATCTGCATGTAGATGGGATGGAGCAAAGCTGCTTTTCTGAAGCTATATCATCCTTGTCTGACCTAATAGAGGAGTACAATGAACTGGATGCCACAAAAGGTGGGCCTAGAACAGATCCATCAAGACTGAAGATAGCTGTTTAAAGAAGGAAGAACCGATTTATTTATCTCCCCCAAGCATCCAACCGCTTCAGTTAACCAGAATGAATCACAGCCTTGCCTAGCTGTTGTAATTCCAGAGTAAGACTGGGACAGCAGCTTCCTCAGCTCTCAGAGGTGTCATATTAAGTGACAGCCCAGCCTGTAAGAAAGATTTGAAGGCACCTAATTACAGTGGATAGAAGTAAGAGCAGTAACTGTAGAGTAAATTTACATACCATGTGCTGTAAAGAGAAGAAAGGTTATAGCAGCCAAAAACGTAGTTATTTTCTCAGACTTTCAGCTTATGGTAAGCTAAAGGCAGGCCTTGCTTCAAAGAAAGATTACTGTTGGTAGTTTTATTTTTTAACAAGCAGTTACAAAGAAAAGAAAAGCCCACGTAATCTTTTGAAAGACAAAAGCTAGTCTTTAATGAAACTGGTTTCTTAAACTGCAGGATAGCGGTCATTTCGGAATGCTTTAAGCTATGTTCATAGTTTTAATATTTTCGCTTCCATGTTGTATTTAGCTGTATTAGAGCATTCTGAGTTGATATCAATATTGGCTATATCAGAAAATGCAACAAAATATTTTTTTCAAGCATTATATTGGAATATTAATTAACATCTTATTTTAATGATTCATATTCATGAATGCTGAATTGCACTTGATAATGAGATAATACAATATACTTCTGAGCAAAACATGCACTTAAAATGAAGTTATAATGACTGTTCAGAAAATCAAGTTTATATGCTTAAAAGAATGCAAGTGGAAAAAAAAATAGATGTTTTAATATTTATAATTACCAGAGTAGGTAGATTTTTATATTACAGTAAGAACTTCTACAAAGTAGAATGTACAACTATTTTCAGTTGCTTGCTGGCTTTGACTGTCTTAGAACAGCAAGAGAAGTGAACTGTTCCAAAACACAATGGACCAATACAATGGATCAATGGATTTCTTAAAGCTTGAAACCCTTCTAGCAGAGTTGAGAGGGTGTATAAATAAGCACAATTTTCAATGTATAAGTCCAGAAATATTCAATAAAATGTTGTGATAACATTTGCTAAGAGCTTTTTTTTTAAGAGAACTTTGTAAAACTAGTAATTTCCTTGAAATTTTGCATCTATTATCAACAGGTGCATGTTTTACAAGTGCACTGTTTTTATTCGTAACACTAGAGAAAGATTATCTCCTGCAAAAAGCAATCTGAGCTTAAAACTGACTACTTCTGTTTGAAACAGCATTGATATGTTTTTACTGTTGTAGATATACAGTACAAAATGTTAATTTGAGAATGAAGAATGATAGATGATGTATTACAGGGTAGTTCTTTTTTCTAACAGGTTAGCGCATCTGTGAACTTAGATGTATTTGTATTTGTGGGTGACAACTTGTTACAGCGGGGTATGAGGCTGTCCTGCTTTTACCAAAAGTTTTTGTTTTGCCAATAATAGTGTTATATGCATCCTTCTCAAGAATGTATTTCCACATCTAAGACCAACTGAGTTTAAAAAGGTGCACTCCTACTTGCATTTTCCAGGTGCTATTTAAAAAGTGAATATTCATATGCATAGTTTCACCATAAGCAGTGCTGTGGCAGGAGGTTATGCTGACTCTTTGGGGGCTGTGATGTGCAGCTGCACTCCCAGTATGTTACAGACAATGGTGTAACTTGTCATAAAACTTTGAGTTCAGAAAATATGTCTCCTGGAGCACTGCATATCCTCTGACATACACACGATGTTATCCACATCATCTTCCACTTAAAGAAGCCTTCATTGGGACACTCAAACTGCACAGTGATCATTTGCGACTTATTAGGTATGCAGCGCCTCTTGTCCAAGCACATGCCGCAGAAAGTTAGTTTGTAGCTTTGAGTAGTTGAGCATCCGGAAAAAACAAGTTTCTCTGCTGTAGGAAGCTGGAATATTGGTTGACATGTTTTTCCTTTTGGAATCTAATGTGAAAACAAAGAAAACCCTGCATTTTTACACATTAAAAAAAGAACACGTAAGAAAAAAATTAACATTTACACAGAAGTATCTTGAAAATTACTCCTTCTGAAAGCTGTCTTATTTTGCTTTGTCAGTTGACAAACTGAAAACATTCTCTGAGTGACTGAGCGCCAGGACAGCACTAGCAGCACTTCTGTTTCAGGACATTATATTTTTTTATTTGAAGTCACATATCTGTAGTTTACTATTGAAACCTGAACACTGAAGGTAGAAAACAGAAGTTATTTTAAAATAACTCTTAAAAAAGGAAGTTATTTTACATTAATAGTTGCTGCAACATCAATCTTGTCATTGGTTCCAATACTTTTATTTGCTATTAGGATGCCATTTTATATTAGCACATACCTTTATTGTCTTTGGTATAGTGGTCAGACACGGCCGGATGAAGCATAACCTCTTTTCTTTTTTCATTTCACATTTTTTGTTTTCATTGGTCACCCTGCTGGATATGCCTATGCCACAGGTCTTGGAGCAGGGTGTCCAGGGAGTTGCCTGTACTAGGCACTTGTTCTTCAAAACCAGTGGTAAACTTCTGTAAGCTAAGACAACAATATATTATTTATGGAGCACGACAGCCCCAGAAGGATTAATTAAAAATAGGAGGATAAGCATTTGATTTCTGTTCATGCAGGTGCTTTTGTAGGTAAGTGTAAAGATAAGTTATACAAAAGCCAGCTGAGCTGGATCTGCGCAAGGTCTATGCAATTGCATGTGTTGTGTGTCCCTCCAGTTTAATATGATGGAAATGTTGTGTGGGGAGAGTGGAATTTTTATTAAGTGTCCAGAAGGAAAGAGATGTTGGAAATCATGTAAGGCCAAGAATAGCCTGAAAATGGGTCCTGAAAATGTTTGTTTCTTTGTAGATATTGTGAATTCTTAAGGTTTTGTACTGAGGAGTAAAATTCTTCAGTCATTTCTAGTATCACGAAAAAGCCTATTTTCTGATGGGTTAGGGGCTGCATTAGGTAGAGTACTCTTAACAAAAGAAGTGCAGTACAAAAGTTCATGGTGAAACTCTTCAAGAAAACCTGACTATGTGGAACCTGTTCATTTAGGTAAGAACACGGGCAGAATTATGAGGATACTGGGAAAGTAGACAGCAATTTAAAGATCTTACTGCAGCAAGCAGATGAAAAGCCTGTCACAGATCTGCAACAAATAAAGGGAAGTTAAACGGTCATTTGTACTTGATACGTTTTTTTAAAGTATGACCTAAGTAAATCTCTATGCCTCTGAATTAGGGAAGATCAAATTGACAAGGAAAGAAAAAAAAAACACCAAAAAACCAAAGCAACAACAGAGTGAAACTTAGTGCTTGTTCTCCTTACTAACAGAAGAAAAGACTTGACAAAATAGATATTGGCCCTTTGTGTGTGGAATTCATGCACAAGTTGACATGTTGCTTCTGCTGCACTGGGAAAGGGAGAAGATCTCGCTCTGAAACAAACATTTCAAGGTGCTTTTCAAAGGGTTTGTATCACCTGAAGAACAGAGCCCTTTGGCACATGCAGCCAGTGCAGGGACAGGCCACTGAATCCCTGAACCAAGTGAAAAAGGAGGCGTGTTTTGCAGGCTGTAGATCTTTTCTTGTGGTTATGTTGCGCAGTCAATGTGAATTCCTGAATAAACACCATGAGGTGCAGAGTTGCAGTCAGTGAAGGAGTTACTAAAGGCTGAACTTTAGCTTTTGGACCCCCTGAAGAGCTGCAAAGTAAATTACTTTAATGTTGTTAAGCAGGTATCTGAAATACAGCTCCCCACAAACCCAATTAATAGATTTCACAGGGTTGGACAATTTGGTTGCCTTTGTTTTCAATGTGTTATGTTCTCTTTGATCAGATTATGAGGAAAGGCTGAAGGAGCTGGGTCTCTTTAGCCTGTAGTAGGGGAGGCTGAGGGGTGACCTCATAAAGATTTATAAATATGTCAAGGGTGAGTGTCAGGAGGACGGTTCCAGGCTCTTTTCGGTGATGTCCAATGATAGGACAAGGGGCAATGGGTACGAGCTGAAACATAGGAGGTTCCACAAAAACACAAGAAAAACTTTTTCACTATGAGGGTGACAGAGCACTGGAACAGACTTCCCAGAGAGGTTGTGGAGTCTCCTTCTCTGGAGACATTCAAAACCTGCCTGGATGTGTTCCTGTGTGGCTGCCCTAGGGGATCCTGCTGTGGCAGGGGGGTTGGACTGGATGATCTTTCAAGGTCACTTCCAACCCCTGACATTCTGCAATTAGCACTGTTGTCTAAAAATGAAGTCTCCATTTGAAGTCAGTTGCCTTACCAAGTGTGTATTTATATACAGCAATAAGTATGTTTCTTTAAAATTATTTCAATACCAGTTATAGGTATTGTATCACAATTTTGAAGCAAAGATGAGCTGGTTTTTAACTTTTGCTGACTTGCATAACCACCGGGGAAGTGTTAAAAGCTGTCTCAACTGACCCTCAGATTTTCTAATTGTGTTTATTTATCTGCAGATTGACTTATGTGCATCTAGTTATTTACACAACAGTCTTGTATAAATTGTTTTATAAGCTTTGTGATCCTTGTAGTTTTATGTTATTGATCCATTACAATGATTAAACCTCAAATTTCCCCACAGTTCAAGCTGCCACCAAGGAAATGGCTCTGGTACCCACACTAGTAGTTGTAACAAAGATGGATTTCACCATGGAAACTTGCACATCCACAGGGAGGGAGACAGCATAAGTGCAGGCAGCTGGGGCCAGGGAAGGGCTAGGATAGCTGCTTCCTTTAAAAAAAGCCCACAAACCTACAGTGTTAGCCGCAAAACAATGAGGTTAAAGGGAATATCAGCTAACCCTGGCAAAACTGCATGGTCAAGCTTGTGTGTGCCTTTAAGTAGATTGAATAGAGAAGAAATTGAGGAGACTGTTGTCCTTGCAGTGACCTGAAATTTTGCAACTTCAGGAAAGCCACTAAGGCAATTATTATCCCTTTCTGTAGAAAGAAGTGGCCTGCAGCGTGTTAATGTATGGATGTGAAAGCGGTAACTCCAACCACCACAAAGCAGGAGAAAGGGAGACATCTCCCTGGCTGCCAAATGTCTGCCTACCAGCAGCCCTAATTGATCTGATTTGATTAGTAGTAAACCTCCACAGAAAGATGGGTTGGAGGTAGCTTTGGCCAATTCCCTGGTGACAGAAGCCAAAAGGCTTTTTGCTTATCATATTCACGAGGCTTAGAGAAAAGAGTCTGTGACCTAAGAGTAAGAGGGTTAATTGGGACAGAACAGTGACCCTGGCAACTGGCCTTTGGCAAGAACTGAGCGATTGCCACTGTGCTGGCTGCTGGAGCCAGGGACGTAGAAGACTCATGTACAGAAAGTTTTACCAGTGTAGCCAGGCACACCTGACATCAGTCTGTAGTTTGTTGATTGAAGCTGCTTGTGCTGTCCCGGCCCACAGATGGGTTGTCCGGCCTTCTTTCTGCCCGCGACCGCGGCACAGGGACTTGCTGCTGATCTCGGAATGAATACAGGTGTACATCCAATTGCGCCGCTGACACACAGGCACTTATAAAGTGGGTTAGGTTGGAAGGTCTGCCCGTTAAGGTAATAAACTCCATTGAGCTCACATCCTACGGCTACCAGATCTGAAAAATGGTAAACAGTAGTTACTGACACAGGAGGAGCACGTGGCTCCTGCATGAAGTGCTAAAATGCAATCAGCCTTTACTGTATCTACAGCTTTGATTTGCTCCCAGCCTACACACTTTTTTTTTTTTATTTATGCCCAGTGATAACTTTAAATCAGTCATCAACACGTCTGCGAGTAACAGGCTTGCGCACAATGAACTGGTTCTGTTAATGCATATGCAGATAAGTTTAAAGATGGTCCCAGCCCTCTTCTCAGATTCCATGACCAAGCAGTTGGAGGACTAAATTAGGACAGATTTGCCTAGCACGAAGCTGGGCAGCACCAGCAAGCAGAATTTTCCTTCAAAACCATTCACCACCCTCCAGGATTTCAAGAAGGGAACGTGGAAGACCAACTTACATGCGCACACGCCTGTTTCATACCTAGGCTCGTCTTCTGAGTAGTCACAGTAGAGGCCTTTGTGGGGGTCACAGGTGTCTGCTTCGCTGCAGGTCTCTCCTGACTGCTTGGCACAGACCTTGCAGCAGCCACAACCATCCTTTACCAAGCTCACCCCAGGGGTGCAGGCTGGTACAGGCGGGCATCTGCACGGCCAATGACAAACCTCCTTGCGCTGGTGGACCTCACCAGATTCTGAAGGGTTTTCTCCAGGTTTCACTGGCGAGCTGTGAGAAAACTTACACACAGTGGGATATTTAGAGAGCTGAATGCATTATGCGTAGCTGGGATAGCATAAAATGAAGTTGGGGTGGAAAAAAACTGTGGAATCATGTGAAGACACCTAACTTTTTCCATCTCACAGGATCCGAAAAGTGAGAGGCTGTGAGATTTAGGGAGGAGGAAAAGGACCAGTTTCACCAGTCACTGTCAGGTACTGAGGTGTCGTTCCACCAGTGAGCCTGTCCCACTGCTTATATGAAACACAATTCATTGGGTTTGCATTCAACAGAACAAAAGCTGTAGTAGAGCTAAGTAGGAAAAAAAGGTGTTTTCAAGTAGACAGCGGATTAGTTTTAAATACTTCTTCCCACAAACCTCCTATCAAATTAATTAGCTTTGGATTCTTCCCACGTTTTGATAGCCAGCCACTGCCCTGTGTGCCACTTCTGATGGCAAAAGCTTTTTAAAACAGTAAACCTCTTTTGAGTGTTCCTTTTGTTCCAAAATTTGAGTAGCTGTTTGGGAAGAAGTATTATAGTATTTACAGATTATTTTGTTCTAATTGCAAAAACTGAATCCTAATAAGGCAGTAGTTGCACTGAGCTTAACAGGTAATTTTCTAAGAGTGTATCTATTTGCATGAATAAGTGTTCGCTGAATCCAGAGCTTACCAAGGCAAAGACATATCTCTAAAAGAGATTTGTATCTGCAGTAGGAAGTCAAGATTTAGCCAGAATTTACTGTTTTCCACATTCAGTCTTAGAATTCTTGTCTGTTTTTTTCTTGCTTTTCTTTTCTTTGTTTTTTGGGGGGTTTATGGCTTTTTTTTTTTAAGCGAAGGAAGTCCTAAATTCTTGATGGGTTTATTTTTCTGAGGCGTGGGGAAAGATCAAGTCAACACAGAATGTGAAAGGACCTCTTTGAGACAGCTGTGTTCTATCTGCATTTTTGAAGAACTATATATCTAAAACAACAGTTTAGATCTTAGCATTAAATCTTTCCGTGCTGCTGATTCCAGCAGAAATGGAGATCGTGATACAGTTATTCATCGCGGATGACTGGATCCATAGTTAAATGGAGGCACACACAGGGCTTGACCACTAGTACAATGTAAGACTTGGGAGCAGCACTCATCAAGCAGTTCTGGCTGCCCAAAGAGCAAGATGGAGAAAGATCCAACCCCTCATCAGGTGGCAGTAGCACCATCTAGCTTGCAGACAAAAGAAAAAAAAGCAAATATATTTTCTGGGCATAGGAAATGCAACCTATAAGTTTCTCTCTGTTCCTCCAAACCGCAGGACTCTACTGATGTAGAAACCACTTCCAGTGGAGACACTAAGGAAAAGCTGGGGAAGGGGTCATTCAGCTGGGTTTCCTTTCAAATATCTAGATAATTCAGCATTTAGAATCACAGGAAAAAAAATTACAATTCATATGTCATATCCCATGAAAGCTCTCACAGAGTAATTGAGCCAGCCTAATTGCATACAGCAGTAAACGACCTTTTAAAAGCCTTTTTTCTACCACTAATTTCCATTTTTCATGGTCATTTACAACTATACTTAACGATATCTTAATCCGCAGCTACTAATGAAGCTCCAAAGTAGTAGCTTTCAAGTTCCTTTGGCTGAATGATTTTTAAGATACATATTAATTCACAGAGACAATTCATATAATAAATGAATATTAAACAACGTCTTGTGGTATTCCATGCAGCATGGAGAAGATAATTTCATAAATGTGTTGTTTTGTTAATCATTTCCTGACAAAGGATTTTTTCTAATCCTTTTAACCTAAATGCAGCAATAACATAGAAGCAACTAACTTAAGTACACTTTTTTAGGCAGCTAAGCCTTTTCTATAATGTTAATTTGATGAAGGCGTGCATTGGAGCATAAAGCTTCTTAAAGGCTTGTTCTGAAAACAAGACACACAGGTGTTCCTATATATTTAGTGGTGTTCAAGACTTGTTGCTTTAGGAAACACTTTCTTTATGCTTTTTTTCTTTTTAAGCAGAGTATTACTATTAGGAACTTGGCCATGTGCCAGCTATATGACGTTATGCGGCTTAAATCAGGTCTCGCATTTCAAAATGGGTATGTGTAGCAGGAAATAATCTGTGTTTTTCAACCAGTATGTTTAATTTATATTACAAATTAAAATGTGTTTTTAACCTACAGAATTCTACCTAAGCAAGTGATTTTTCTCTCCATTGTTTAAAAAAAATGTCAACTGAAAGGTGTGAGACTGCAAATGTTCCCAATAAGAAAAACACCATCAGGCAAATATTTGACAATTTTAACTGTGAAGAAGCTCAATCTACCTGCAAAATCTTTAAAAATCTATTAAGTTACAATGAAAATTTAAAGTCTGCTTGTCAAGTTTACAGGTCAAATATTCTCTAATTCTTGCTTCCCAAAGTTTCTGTACCGAAGCTACCCACACCACACAAGCCCACTGCATGCTTTTCCTGATCCTATGGGCAGATCAGAAAATGAGACCATTGTGCAGGAACCCTTCATGTGTTATTGTTTGTTTTCTTATGTTTTAAAGTCTATATGGCACAAATAAGCAAAGAGCAGAAATAGGTAATGGATTATTGCTAAGATTTGGTTATCTTAGTCTGACTTTAAATATGCAGAAAGTTAGCAGAGGGAGAGAGTCATCTGAAAATCCTCCATTCAACATTGACCTTGATCATAAAGGAAAAATACACTGTGTGCACGTAAAGTGTATTTTCAAAATTAAGTAAATATATAATGAAATTGACCTTTGATGCAAACACCTTCAGCAAAAGCTATCACTGAATTTTTTCTTGTAAGAGACAAAGCATAACAGAGCCCAGGTACCTTTCTCATTTGTAAAACTAGACTGAAGTCAGACCACTGTGTAGATATGTACGTCTATATGTGTATATATATATATATATCTGTGTATATATGTGTGCGTATATATATATGGAATATCAGCATGGACAAGATGTTTATTTTCTCACTGCATCAGAAAACCATTTGTACTTATATTAAAGTAAAAAAAAAAGAAAAAAGGCAAGGTCACTGACAATTTAAGCTTTCTTAACACTTTTTTTTTCCACCAAATCATATTAATATACAGATTAGAGAGAAAAAAAATACCAAAATGAAGACTGATACAGTAAATAAACTGCAGATGAAATTTCCCCAGGAGTAGCGAATGACTCCTTATACTTTATGAGGAATTTTCTTCTCTGAAATTTATTTTGTCATTAAGCAAATAAAAACTTTAAACCAGGACAGGGTGAGGAAGGGAGAAATCTTTTTCTTCTTTTTAATGAACTTACCAGTTGCATACAAGGGATGATGAAGATGGTGGAAAAAAGGAGCCACCGCATGTTCCTGCACATTCTGAAGTGAAATGGGGAGATAGGGAGCCGGCTGAGCTGTGTCAGAGGAAGCACTGAACACAAAGCTCTCCTCTGTCTCCCTTGCCAACCCTACTTTCCCCAGCACATGCACGAACACATACACACATTCACACTTGAAATTCTCTGCTTCATACAGAACGAGCTTCACACTGAAATTTCCAACTGATCATCTTTTCTCTGCCCAGCGCTAGAATACAGATTTTCACACCCTGCTAGATTCCATCCAGCTGCTTCAGCAGATTCTGCTTGTCTTAATTGAGGTCGGGTGGGATGACATCTTATCCTTGAAATCTTGCTGCTGGAAATATAGTGTTATTTTTTAACTCCTAAGTCCATATTACAGGAAATTCTGAAATCTGAAGGGCAGAGCCCCAAGTATGTGTATTGTTGAGACAGAGAAAGCAGGGTTTCTCAAAATTTCTAATTAATCGCGCCTAGCAGAATCATAGCATAAAAAATAACAGTCATGCTCTCTAAAGAGGGAAAGATGCTCTAGTGTGTTACAGCACTAGTACATATTCTGCACTGCTTCTTTCCACAGAATCCTAATGGGGAAACCCAAACTGTACTTTTCCTTGCAGTATGCACCTTGTCTCACTATCCTGCCACTCCTGCTCAAACACAAGAGTATTCAAATGTCCACATTTCCTCCTCCCTAATACTGTCTAGGTGATGTGCCTGATTTTTAAGCTAACAAGCAAGGGTCTCCAGAGTAAGATAAAAGCTCTGTCCCTGGTGAATGCTCCTCCTTTGCATTTGTCCTCGCTTAGTCACCTCCTGTGATGTTGCTGAGCAGCTGCCAAAGCTGGCTCACACACAGCAGCTCTGTGTGGACAGACGCAGCGCTGGGAGTACGGGATCAAACTCAGCCAGAGTAATTCTGTTTTCCTCCCTGACTCACCACAACCTCCCTCTGCAGTTGCAAATGGATCCTGAACTGCCTTGCAAACTCTTGAGCAGTCAGCTGCAAGACACTGAAAACCTGCTCTTCAGCACATCCACCTTGTCACACACTTCAGCATAAAGTCCAGATGGTTCCTAGGTACGAAGTGGGTGCTGCAGATCAGCTCATTTCAGTGGCATTACTCTGCGTATGCATCCATGCAGACCAGGTCTGACTCAAGCTTTGTGTTTCCCATTAAAAGTTTATGAACATAGTACATAAGTTCCTCAAAAATTTCTTCTGTATGCTTTCAAAACACAGCTTGTTTCATAGGGTCAGAGGATAGCTGAGGTTGGAGGAGACCCAGGAGATCTCTAGTCCAGCCAGTCCTCAAGCAGGGTCAGTTCTGAGATCAAGCCAGGCTACTCAGGGCTCTGTCTGTTTGGGTCTGGAAAACCTCCAAGGGTGGAGACTGACAAACCTCACCCGGCAGCCTTTCGGAGTGATAATAATGAGCAATGCAGGCTGCCTGAGGAGATTCCAGGTACAGATTTCTCCTCCAAATCAAGATACCCCTTCTGCTCTCCAGCCTGGTAGAAGGCAAGAAGGTCAGAGTACTAGCATGTCCATTCCCCTCCTCCTAGGGCTGCAGGGAAGTACATGGTATTCATTCAAAATGTGTTTTCTTTTTACATCACAGAAATAAAACGTATCACCAG